ATTCTCTGTCTCTGTCTCTCTCTCTCTCTCCCCATCCATCTCCCCATATTGCACATTCTCTCTCTAAAAAGAAAAAAAAAATATTATAATTAACTCATTTTCTCACACATCACATGGAAAAAGGTAATGTTTCGCGCCATGTACCGGTGTTCACAAGGGGCACAGTAATGTTTTTGAAGGCTGTAGGTAGTTCCACAAATTAATACAGTGCTACCATAAAGACTCACACCTGTTTTCACTTAATTTGCACCATTCTTTGTTTCTCTGCAGAGAGATTCAATGTATACCTTATGCCTACACCAAACCTGGATATTTATGGCGAATGCACAATGCAGATCACTCATGAGAATATCTATCTCTGGGATATCCACAATGCCAAGGTCAAACTGGTGATGTGGCCTCTCAGCTCACTGAGGAGATATGGACGGGACTCAACGTGGTTCACCTTTGAGTCAGGAAGGTAAGCTCTAAGTGTCACAACCAGGGGGTGGGTGAAAAATAAACTCCTGAAGGAAAGGTTCTGTCCATCTGCCCAGGATGACCACTGTGTTTAGAAAGGGTAGAAATGACCAAATATATAATTTCTCCAGATTCTTGTTTTTTTTAATATGAAATTTATTGTCAAATTGGTTTCTATACAACACCCAGTGGTTATTGCAACCTCAGAGGAGGTGCCCTCCTCAGATTCGTGTTGATAACCTAAATAAAGTGTGTTCATTCTATGACAGGTTAATTACCCCATTCTAAAAATTTCAGTCTTTTACACTGGCCTCAAACTAATTTCATAATTATTTCTATCATGCCATATAGTTTGCAATATTATTACAATACTATATTTTTAGTGTATCCAATAATATTATCAGTGCAATAGGATTCCCATAAAATTCAACATGTCCCTACTAGCCTTATTTTTGTGAGTTCTTTATAAGCAAAAAAATTTTGAAAGGAGTTTTATATTAAATTGTTTAAATATTACATTTTAATATTGCCGATATTATTATTGCCGATAAGTTAATCCAGTATTCATTTATCCAGATTTTTATGTTAACATTAATTAAGTGTAAATGTTAATTCAGAGTGACTGAAGAAATATTTTCAAACCTGTAATATATGAAGTGTATAACACAGATTTTAAATACAGTATGTCAAAAGCAAGTATGTTTGTTTCTTAATTATAGCATATGGTCGGAATCCGTAAATGTTTTAAATGAGTGGTTGTTTCTTAATCACAATTTACAGACAGAAGTTTAGACATGAGCTTCAACCAGCTAAGTGAATATCTTTGCGCAGTGACCCCTACCCCTTTGTGATATTGTTGTCACATATACAAGACAAGACCTACTTAGATTTGGGGATTCTGTATAATAAGAGATGTTTAACGTATCAGTCTTCACACTGGGGACATGATTTATCACATTCTGAAAATGAATCTGTGACATTATAAGATAATTTTAGCAAAGTTTTATTGTACTTGATACAGCAATCTTAATTTCATAACTTTGTTCTTACAAAACTACTAAATACTTATTCAAGGTCAGTTTCTAATAATATCCATCTAGGTTAGGTCAAGGCCATATATTTTTTAGAATTTTAAGCAGAGGGGAGAAAATAAGCCGAGCTGAGCTGAAGTAATTCTACCACTCAGTTTTGCACTAGGTTATATTAAACCCTCTACTAGACTGATTTCTCTAAGAGGCTCCAATCCTGTGGTTACTTAGTGGTTATGAGTTCACTCAACTGTCTGTTTCCAATCTGCCTAGATATTGACAGTAATAAGAGTAATCACATTTTAGATAACTGTTAGGAAATAATTCTCTTAAGAAAATGAATATTTTGGGGCATGTATACTATTTTAAAATTTATAAGGTTATGAAAAAGGGATTATAACTTACTGACCTAAGGTTTCCGATACATTTTTTTTTACTGGTCATAAAAGTTAATGTACGTATAGAAAAAAGTGATGGTTTATTTTCATTACTTAATAACATTACCACCAAAATTCCCTCCTCTGGATTTTTCTCCTAGGTGTTCCTATTTTCCTATTTTCTTTTTTTTATTATTTATTATTAACATACAGTTGACATGCAATGTTATATTGGTTTCAGGGTTACAACATAATGATTTGATAATTCCATGCATTCTCAGTGCTCACCATGATAAGGGTGTCACCATGTCACCGTCTGTCATCATATAGTGTTATTACAATGTTACTGACTATATGCCCTGTGCTGTACTTTTATTCCATGACTCACTTACTTTATTTCATAACCAGAAGTTAATCTTCATTTGTTTCCATTCTCCCTGTCCCACGGCTTTCTGGCAACCACCAGTTTGTTCTCTGTATTTGTGTGTCTGTTTGGTGTTTGTTTGTTTGTGTGTTTGCTCGTTTGTTTTGTTTTGTTTTTTAGATTCCCCATATAAGAGAAATAATATGGCATTTGTCTTTTTCTGTCTGACTTATTTCACTTAGCATAACACCCTCTAGGTCCATTCTTGTTGCAAATGGCAAAACTTCATTCTTTTTAAAGGCTAAGTCTATCGCGTATATATGAGTGTGCAGGAGGTGGGAACATACCACATCTTCTTTATCCACTCATCTGTGAATGGGCATTTTGGTTGCTTCTACATGTTGGCTATTATAAGTAATGGTGTTTTAAATATAGGGGTGTATACATCTTTTTGAATTCATGGTTTCATTTTCTTTGGAAATACCCAGTGGTGCGATTACTAGATCATATGGTATTTCCAATTCTAATTTTTGAGGAGCCTCTATACTGTTACCTGTCTATCCCCTCATTTCAGAAGGCATCTTCTCAGGATTTTGAATAACAGTAAGGTTTCTTTTTCTTTTATGGTGGTTATGGAGAATTTTCACTCCATTTATAAATGTTCACATTAGTTTTTGCCAGTTTCTTTCTTGATTCTTCAAAGTCTTTAAGGGGAACAGACTGGCTCTCCAACAGTGTTTAAGTTGATATTCTCAACCAAAACATCCAACTACCTGATGTGCAACTTGTGGTTTATTTGACAGTCACTATTAATTGGTCTTCTGTGATCTTGGTAATTTTTAATAATTTTAAGATACATTAAAAAATAAAACATATCAGAGTAGGTAAGGACCACAGTCTTCAAGGTTTTTATGTTTTATTTTTGTTTTCTTGTTTGTTTAGTTTTGTTGGTTTAGGAGATAATTTTTTTCTACACTTTTTATCAGAATAACTTCTTAATAAATAATAATATTTAAAAATCATCTTGACACCCAAGCTTCTCCGTGCCTGGGAATCGGAGAGAACTAGATTTAGGTCATTGCTCTGTCACTTGTTAATAGCTTCCAGTTTTCTTCTTTGCATTAGAAGTAGTATCATCTCTACCTCCTACATAAATTTGTACAGATTGAGCGAGTTTGTGATCGGAAAGCAGCACACAGCACAGTACTGTCACGCGATGGGCATTTAAGAAACCATGATTACGTACGCTTCTCAGAAATTATGTATTTATTTTCCATTTTCTGAACGAAGCTTCTACTTATCTCTGAAGATCTCTATTCTTAGGGAACTCTGCTAAGGCACATCCTTAGCCAAAACCGGAAATGTGGGGAGAGATGAGCCAAGCAAAAAGCTTGGGAGAAGCCGGCATTCAAATGCTGGAAAAATCATTAGAAACTCAGTGTCTGAGAATAAAAATCAGTGTTACCTGTCATGAGTCAGGAATTTGAGGCGGAAATGGGTCTGGTACAGCAAGACTTCAGAGTACAAATAAGGGGAAAATACCGAACGGCTGTCTTTGTGCTAACTGGTGCTTGGAGCATAATTTTATGGGTTACTAGGTGCCTATTTCATTGAAGAGTCAGCAGATATACAAGAACTCTCTCATTTACCGTGTGTAATTCTTTGGAATGAGTTACACTCCAATAGTATTGCCTGCGGGAAAATCAGAGTGTAGAGCAATGAAAATCAAACTTCCTTACCCTTAAGTACATTAAGGGAAAAAACCTAAAGGAATCTAGACAAAAAGCTACTAGAACCAAGAAGTGAATTTAGCATGGTTGCAGCATATAAGGTCAATATACAAAAATCAATTTTATTTTATATATAAGCAATGCATGATTGGAAGGGAAAATGTTTTGAATATCTCTTCTAATCTCATAAAAATATGAAATATGTATAGGTTATTTTAACAAAATATGTGCAAGACCTATACATTGAAAACCACAAAATATGACTAAGAGAAATTAAAGAAGACCAAAATAAATGAAGGTATATACCACATTTGTGAATTGGAAGACGCTGTATTCATAAGATAACAGTCCTCTCCAAATCAATGGGCACATTCATTTTAATGTCAACAATCCCAAATGACTTTTCTAAATCAAATGTCAAGTTGATTCTAAAAGGTATTTCGAATTACAAAAGACCTAGAGTAGCAAAAGCAATTTGGAAAAGAACATATCTGATGGATTTCTACTACCCTATTTTAATCCTTGTTATGAAGCCACAATAATCAAGACTATGTGATAGTGACATAAGAATAGACCTAACAATCACCAGAAAAGAATGAAGAGTTCAAAATGGACACCTATATATATGGCCGATTTATTTATTTGTTAATCTGCTGTGTTAATTTAATGTGAAAAAGAAACAAATGGTGTGGGAACAACCAGATACCCACTAGGAGAAACATGAACCTCAGCTCTTACCTCACTTGCATGGACTGAATTCTGAATTGTGCCCCCCTCCCCCGCTTTCACAGCAATATTCATATATTGAAGCCCTAATTCCCAAGTGTGATGGTATTTGGAGCTGAGATTTTGGGGCCTTTGGAAGACAATTCAGTTTAAATGAGACCATGAGGGTGGGGCATCATGGTAGGATTAAGGTCCTTATAAGAAGAGATACCAGAAAGCTGCTTTCTCTGTCCTGCCATGTGAGGTGGCCACAAGGAGAAGGTGGCCATCTACAAGAAACAAAGAGAATCCTCATCAGAAATTGACCATAGTGACACCTTGATCTTGGACTTCCAGCTTCCAGAAGTATGTGAAAATAAATGTCTATTCTTTAAGCCCCCTTGTCCATGGTTATTTGTTATGGCAGCTCAAGCTAATACACTCCACCAAACTCCAAATGCATATATATTTACATAACAAAACTAAAATTATAAAATTTATAACAGAAAACAGAGGAAAATATTTGTAACCTTGAAATAGGCAAACATTTCTTTTTTTATTTTATTTTTTTAAAATTTACATCCAAATTAGTTAGCATATAGTGAAACAATGATTTCAGGAGTAGATTCCTTTGTGCCCCTTACCCATTTAGCTCATCCCCCTCCCACAACCCCTCCAGCAACCCTCAGTTTGTTCTCCATATTTATGAGTCTCTTCTGTTTTGTCCCCCTCCCTGTTTTTATATTCTTTTTGTTTCCCTTCCCTTATGTTCTCTTAAAGTCCTCATATGAGTGAAG